CTTCCTGAATACTTTATGAGGCAAGACACACACTCTTTAAAGAAGGAGTCCTCAGTCCATTCTCCGGGCTGTTTTGTGAGCCTCACCATCAAGCAGAAAACTTCACACAATGGACATGAAAGGCAGATGTTTAAGTGAAGGCTCTTTTGAGCAAAAAGAAGGACTACCAGTCATCAAAGAATTCCAGAAGGCACAGTTCCTCGAGTCCAGACAAGACCAGCAAATAAAACCAAATTCCAGCGAGCTAGTATTACCTGATGTTCGTTTAGTCTGGAGTGGGGGGGATCAGAATAGAAGTTTTCTTTAGAACTTAATTAGATTGAGATGGTTGATCTGCTCCTCGAGCGGGGGAGCTGGGCATTTAACATTACAGCAAAGATCTTTTTCCCCAGGTCTCTGTAAGGGGAGCCCGGACCCTATCAAAATGTGCGATAAGGAGGTTACATTTGTCATTTTGAACTAGTTCAAACTAGCTAGGCTGCTCCCTGCTCTGAGCTGCTGGCTATTAGCTGTCATCCAGCCTGGATGTGAGACAAGCAGGTGGATAAGAGAGGCATCATCTCGTTAGGACCTGCAGGAGCAGGCAAGCGGGGTGCCTATCAGCGGCGCTCATCTCCGAGGCAGGCTCGGACTCCAGCGTGAAGCACCAGGTTGGATGGTTTTTTTTTTTTTTCATTTCAATGACATTTTTGGGGAAAGTTTCAGATTTAATCCTCTCCCAGGATAGAGTTATTGCAGTTGCCACTGATGCTTCCGATAAATGAGACAGGGTTTCATTTTTTTCTTTGCTACCGAGGCATCTAATTTTATAAAAGCCTTCAACAATGCAATAATTTATTGTAGCAACAGGATGGCTACGTGCAAAGACTTGCCTACTTTTCTGTTAGTTTTCTAAAGGAATCTCTTCCCCTCGTCACTGAGAAGCGGTGCGTGCCTTTCTCTGTGGGTTTCATTAAGACTGTTTGAAGTCATGATGGCAAGATCATTACGATGTTTTTGAAAGATAGTGGGTTTCAAAGAGTTGTACTTAAGAGACTTAAAAAGCTTCATCAACTTAATTCCGGCTACTCTTTCAGAGCTGTGATCTGGAGATGCTGTAATTGGTATTATTTTCTTTACAACCTTACCCTCCACTTCTGTTGTTCTCATTACTTCTACTCCTCTTCTGCAATGACACCTGTAATACGAAATTTAAAAATATGTTAGAGACTAGAATCTTCCAAGGAATTCAGAACCAGTGTAGGAATGACTGCATCCACATGCAGACACACACACAAATGGGGTTACTGTACACATCCTTACAGAGGGGTAAGGTGAGCAGAGGACCTTTGTGATAAGGAGTCTGTGTGTATGCTTGGTTGCTCAGTTGAGTCCAACTCTTTGCGGCCCCATGGACTGTAGCCCACCAGATTTCTCTGTCTATCGAATTTTCCAGGCAAGGATACTGGAGTGGGTTGCCATTTCCTTCTCCAGGAGCTCTCCTGACCCGAGTATTGAACCCACATCTCTTATGTCTCTTTCATTGGCAGTCAGATTCTTTACCACTAGCGCCACCTGGGAAGCTTTTTAAAAAAAAATTACTTCCAAGAAATATTTTTATTGATTCATATTTATTTATTTATATTTTTTGGCCACACGGCATGTGGGCTCTTAGTTACCTAACTAGGGATTGAAACCATTCCCCCCTACAGTGGAAGCGCAGTGTTAACCACTGGACTTCTAGGAAAGTACCATTTTGATTTTATTTACATAATTTTTTTGGAAAGCATCTAGCTTAGATAGCTTTTCTTACAGTAATGCTGTGGCCATGCCAGGGGTAGGGTTAGTGTGGTCATACGTGAGATGTCTGTACAGGAGTTAGTAAGAGCATTTGGATATGTCCCCAGTTTTGACATATGGGAATAGAGGGGAGGGGAAAAAAGGAGGTCCTTTTTGGACGTCAGAGGCAGGATTGGGGTTTTCTGCTAAGAGGGAAGGCAAGGGAGGCAGGTTGGAGCCAGGCAGTTTTGGGAACAAGGAAATAATTCTCACAAGTTCCTAAGCTTGATCTTGATGTACACGGAAGGGTTATATTTGCATTATAATCATTTCAGTCTGTGATTGAAACATCTAACGCCTCTGTTTTGCAGAGAAGTTAAGTCAGGCCCCAAAGATGTCAATTAGCTTGTCCAAGCTCATAAAGAAAGACGGTGAATTAGGATGAAAGTCATGCTATTCCCAATCTTGGCTTAACCAACTGGGTTTTTCTGCCTGTCCTGGTGGGTGTTACAAAAGAAAAAGAAGTTGGTGGAGACTGCACAACCAGGGGGCCTCTTCTGCCTGGTGGCAATGTGTTTATCACAGGTATTCTTCAACGAATGCTTTGGTGGTTGAGCCAAGTTCCAAACCCATTCAGGGTATGTTATTTCATAGGTTGGTCTAGACTCTAGGACTTCTGATAGTAGTGTAGATATGGCTCCTCAAGCCAAACATGTCTGGCTGATTTCTGAAAAGCTGGAGGGTGGTATGGGAGAAGATGGCAATATGGGGAACCTGGGATAAGAGATCAGGTTCTTGTAGAAAAATAGTATTTTTGACAAAGAGCAAACGAATCAAAGATATTACAAGGAAATCTCCTTTTAGTTGCTCGGTAAATTTTTTAAAATTAATTTATTTTAATTGGAGCATAATTACAACACTGTGACGGTTTTTGCCATACATCGACATGAATCAGCCATGGGCACATGTGTGTTGCCTCATCCTGAACCCCCCTCCCACCTCCCTCTCCACCCCATCCCTCTGGGTGGTCCCAGAGCACCAGCCTTGGGTGCACTGCTTCATGCATCGAACTTGCACTAACATCAAAGATGGGGGTTGCAGAAAGACATAGCTGAGGAAGAATGTCTCTTCCGCCGTGCAGACGTCTTTACAAATGCCTCGTGCCGTCTCTGATACTCGAGCTATTGATGTTGCTGAATCCACTCCTCTCAGTGGATTTTAACTGCTTTTCCACCCGAACTCTTCTCCGAGTGATTGTTTCATTTGGATGAGCACCGTGGCTCCTTAACGTAACCCTGCGTTCAGTGCGATCGGTCTGGGATTGCCGCCCCCGGCCCCCGCCAGAGTGGGCGGCCATATGCTTTTCCGTTTGGAAGTTTCCCTTCATGGTCCCCTTATTTAAGATGAGAGGGTCTGGAAAGAATTTTTTGAATGAGAGAGAGAGAGAGAGAGAGAGGTGAAAAATACTACGTTGTGAGGTGCTATTTTTGCCTTTTAAAAACATACACTCTCAGAGCCACACGTGGACTGTTCTGGAAACATATGAGCTCAAGTCGTAGCCAAGGTGTGCCTGGTAGGAGCCCTTCCTACCCGAAAGGGACCGCTTCTTAATAGCTGCATTCACGGGAGTTAAAATTAAATTTCTGTGTGTTGATGTAAAGCCAGCTTTCCCCTCAGGGCTGTTTATTTTAAAAATCTAAAATAGTCAGGGGTCTGCAGCACATGCCGTAATGTAAGCGAACTGGGGTCTGTTCTCCAAGCAAAGCCCTCTTTGTGCTGGCCTCTGTGCCTTAATGCCCTCCAGGAGGGCCCTGGCAGCCCCTTGGCTTCCCCTTCAACACGTGGCAAGCTCAGGCAGCTTTCAGACTTGCCTACAAGGGCAGTTGTTCAAGATGTTCATACCTGGAGGGAAAGGCTGTAATAAACAGCGCTGGCTCTGGTCTGCTGCCTTAGGATGGAGGGGCAGGGGAGGGGGTGGTTGTGGCAGAATTGGTTCTGTGTGTGGGATCACTTTTCCTTCAGGGTCCAAGGTTGAGACGGATGCTGTGCTTTAAAAAATTGTTTTAAATAGCCCAATTTTAAAAATTAAAAATAAATATTAAAAAGCAAAAAAAGGAGGAGGCCATTTCTAATAACGCCAATACATAAAGCTAGGAAGTGGCGCATATCTTATAAATGCAAATGTTTAAAATCTAGATTTGAAGAAAAAGTAGAAGCACAAAGCATGCGTCTCGCCTGCTCCCTTGGATGGAATAGAAGAGTAAGCGAGACTCCTTAAAATGCCTTTGGAAGATCCCAAACACCTTTCAGTCAAGGAATGAATAGCATCAGCCATGGTGGGAAACAAGATGGGTCTAGCAAAGATGCTGCCTCTGCAAACCCAGCCAACCCCTCCCCCAGCCACGCAGCTTTAGGCTGTCTTCCCGACTCAATTGTCACTTGATTTCTATGCTTGAGCTTTTCATTTTACCCAGAAGAAACCTGGACAGATGATGGGAAGATTTGCTTTTCCCCATTCTCAGAAACCATTCATGTTTACTCCGCCCTAGGCAAATATTGGTTAGGAGATTTAACAGATGAGGTACTGGGGGCAAGGCCATCTGAAAAGGAAACATTTGTAAGTGTAAAATAACTTCCTCCTGTTGATGGGGAGGTGATTTCATTTTTTACTGAAGAATTAGTAATAGCTAAATGATGCTGAAGTTGAAGTTCCAATACTTTGGTCATCTGCTATGAAGAGCTGACTGATTGGAAAAGACCCTGATGCTGGGAAAGACTGAGGGCAGGAGGAGAAAGGGACGACAGAGGATGAGATGGTTGGATGGCATCACTGACTCAATGGGCATGAGTTTGAGCAAACTCCAGGAGATAGTGAAGGACAGGGAAGCCTGGCGTGCTGCAGTCGAAAAGAGTCAGAGACAACTTAGCAACTGAACAACGGCACAAAATGCCCTCTACCTGTTCATTGTATTGGATGTATTGGTTGGATAAACCCAAACAAACTTTTTGGCCCACTCAGTCTTAAGCAATTGCCTGGGCGTGTGAGTTTCAATGCATGGCGTCCCCTAAACTCTTTTAGCAATGCGCCCAAGTGGAGACAGCGCATTTGCACAGACTGTCCACAGCCCAGGTAAAGATATGCATGAAGGGAAAAGACTCTCCTGGGGTGACGGCCTCTGCAGAACCCCAGTTTGCTAGGTTTACCCAGGACTCTCGAGCGGGGAGGAGAAGCCGCGGCCCTCATGGGTACCGGGTTTCCCCTTCCTCTGTGCCTCGCTTGGGACCCACGAGTGATCCCAGGGAGTGACCTCCGCGTCTTCGGGTAAGCTGAAGCAAGTTGAAGCTGCAAAAGCAGGCCCATAAATCAGCTCCGATACAATGGCGAAGTTCTTGAAAGCACCTAAAAGCCCCCTCGGCATTCCTTCTAGTTAATGAGCAACAAGGTACATTCCCAAGTCAAGGGTTTGCTGGAGGCCAAGTTAGTAGCAGATGATGGATATGCGAAAAGCGGTCACCCGGAAAAATCTGAGCCACCTAGAGAAACATGAGCAACTTCAAAGGCCTCCTAGGCTTTCTCCTACACAATGCTCTGCTGGCTGAATAAACTGGATTTAAAAAGGAGCTGGGTTCTTCAATGGAATGGGCTGTTAGGACACATTTTGTGCCTGCTTTGTCAATGGGGACTTTCTCTTAAGAACTGTCTTTAAATCTTCCCCTTGCAGTGTTGTACGGTTCGCAGTGATGTGGTGCAAAGCTGGTGGTGGCCTCCTCTTCTCAAAGTTTGGAGGCCCTGAGGTTCCCTTATTACCCCTTTCCTGGGACTCCCAGGGCTGTTCATTACAACTTGCTCCTTCTTTAGCCTTTCAGGTGGGCTGAGACGGCGTAGGTCTTCATGGAAGGTGAAACTGAAATAGATTCTTGCTGGTAGATTGAAACTCTGTAGGAGTTTTTCTTTCTTGATGAGATGATGTGCTCCAAGCCTCTGAAGCAGGAGAAAATGGGAAAATCAGATTAAAAAGTGAGTCTCCAGTCTGTTTGATTGTGTTTGTGTGTGCAATTCTGGTTTATTGGTCTTCTTTTATCACATTTTTGTGGGCTTACCTATATACCACATAACTTTAAATTCATCCTGCTTTTTAGAATGAATTCTTATATACTAACTAGTGTCTGGGTGCAATACACACTAGACATATCCCCCCAAGCCATCAGTAATGCGGGGACACATTAAACGATAACCAAAGATCCATGTAGGTAATTTTTTGTCTCTTCAGAAAAACTAAACAGCACTGCTTCCCTGGGCAATGTATGTACCACATTTGAGTAAAAGCATTTACCTAGAGTGATACTGATTTAATGACATAAAGACAATGTGTGGGATAGTTTTACTTTTTGAAATGCCAGACTCTCATCATGTTTATTAAAGAAACATGCTCTGACTCAGCTCACAGAATGTGTCTCTCACAGTTCTGTGCTACGGGCGGCACCCAAGTCTGGTTCCCTTGGTGTCATCAGCTGCGAGCCATGGTATTTTGGTTTATACCACCCCCTGGCCAGCACGTACGGATGGTCTGGGCCAGTGCTGTTGCTGTGGGCCCTTCTCTGAGCTCTCCTTGATTGATCCTCAGCGATCGGAGTCTGTTCCGTGTGAAATCATTCTCAAACCCCCCCAGCTTGGCTCACACAGGCATTCAGGGAAGGCGAGTTCCCCTAACAGAGCGATACTTAACCAGGGGTCCCTGGACCCAAAACGCCCATGAATGTGCTTTACAGTTGCAAATCACCCTGTGAGATTATCTGCGCAGTTTTGTATGTGCAGAGATTCTTCTGGGGCTGGGAGCTTGTAGGTCTCAGTGGATTCTCAGAGGAGTCTGAGTCCTGCCAAAAGTTCAGGGCCATCACTCTAGCTGGGTTCCCACCTCCAGTTTCATTCTCTTTCCAGTCCATTCTGTATATTACATTAGTGCAACATCTAAAACCTGCTTTCCGTGTCTTGTGCCCCAACGCAAAGCTTCCAAGACTCCCTTACCTGCAGGATGATATATTCTCTTGCCCCCGATGCCCTCCTGATTCCATCTCCCACTGTTCTTCTGCACAGCTTTTCTTTGGGTTATTCTACTCATTATTTCGCCAGCTCGCACATGGTCTTTGCAGCCTCAGTCACTTGCCTTGTCTCATCCCTTCCCCACATTTTGACCCTGCAACTCCTTTAAAGTCAGACTGTCCCACTAAGACTTTCTTCCCTCTACCAACAGCCTCAGTCCTGTCCATAAGTTTGTGTCATCTGAATATGATCCCTGAGGCCTCCAGAAACTTCAGCCTGGGTTTTCCAGAACTGCTCAGAAGGCCATTTGGGATGTTTGGCCTTTGGATTGTTCTCAGTAGTTTGGAATCTGAATAGCGCCACCATATTGCATAGGATGGGCTTTCCAGATAGCAGTAGTGGTAAAGAACCTGCCTACCAATGCAGAAGACAATGTGAGAGACGTGGGTTCGATCCCTGGGTCGGGAAGATCCCCTGGAGGAGGGCATGGCAACCCCCTCCAGTGTTCTTGCCTGGAGAACCCCCGTGGACAGAGGAGCCTGGGGGGCTACAGTTCACAGGGTCGCACAGAGTTGGACATGACTGCAGCGACACAGCAACACAAAACTTTAATCCTAAACTCCGTCTTGAATTTTACTTATTTCACATCATTAACCTTTCGTGTGTATGTTTTGCCATCCAGCCTGGACTGTGAATTTCCTGAAGATGAAGGTCCATTCATTCATTCTCTCATTTATTTGTTCCCCCAGACATGTATTGTGTGTCGTCATCATTTGATGGAACACTGAGACTGGTGTTGAGCTTGGGCTCCCGCTACACCTGGACCAGTTCTGCACACAGAGAGCATACTCGGTGAAGAATGAATGATTGAATGAATGAATTAGAGTTCAATTGAGCCATTTCAGGAGTGCTTGAGAACCTCTGAAATGAATAGGAGCCAGAGTTTCTCCTGGTTTCTGGAGCCAAAGCAAAACCCTCAGGCGCGGTGGTTCTTAAAATGGACCTTCTGGAAGACTCAGAAAGTCCCAAGCAACAATTTCTTTCCACATCCAGGGAGACCACTTTCTGCTGACTCTGCACCATCCATGGCAGGTTCCTGGCTTCACTGGCTGTCCTGGGCTTTTTCTTTCCCGAGGATGGCTGGGAGAGAGCGGGATCAAAGTCCACCCTGTCATGAGACCTTGCAACTGATGGTGAGGAAAGAAAAAGAAAAGAGAGTCCATTCTACCCACCAGAGCTTTCTCTCATCCTCACTCCTCGGGGCCCACAGCCACACTAGTGTTTCTGATGATGTTCCTTCCTGAAGAAGCCCACCTCTGGGAACAGGGGACAGGGGAACATGGGGTGAGTGGCATCCATGCAGGTGGTGGGCTGAGGTTGAACAGCTTCAGCTGGGCCCGGGAACAGAGTGCTGGGTGCCCAAAGCTTTCAGAGACTGCTTTGAAAACCCACGTGTTTGTCTTGGCTGGGTCCGTGGGCATCTGGGCATCTTCCACGAGGGCCGGCCAGGATGTTGGTTTGGTTCCTCGGCCTTCCGTCTTGGTTTGGGGTGGATTCAGTTACTCTGCTCCCTTCAAAGAGGGGACACAGCCCCTGAGACTCTGGGACCTTGGCGAGCCTGAGTTCTGTAAGCCACATCCAGGAGGTATGGGGGCTGGCTTCCATCGCCTGGGATTCTGTTCTCTTTTGTGCAAACGAGAACCAGAGGCCTGGCTGAGCTCAGAAGGCCCCGAAGCCTGCCTGTTATTCCTTCCCACCACCTCCTGCTCTCTCCTGCCAGTAAAAATAAGAGAGTGAAACGACTTAGATGCTGGACCTCCCTCAAGGCAAGTGTGTGCCGGGAAAGAGACTGATTGTGTCCGTGCATTTCAGCGTATCTTTTACAGCTTAGGCCTCAGTTCTCTTGAATTTTTTTTTTTTTCTGAAGTCCCCTGCAGAGGACCCGAGCAACTACCTTCAAAATAATGTATTAAAAATATACTGCATCACTGTTGGGTTGGGACCACTGATTGCGTGTTCCATGTTGGAATGGGGAAAAGTCACCTTTTACTCATTAGAAAATGGATCAATGTGAATATACGCTTGGCTGCCTTTTTATTTTACTGTGGTGAAATACATATACTCTTAAAATTTACCATCTTAATTATTTTACACTGAATGATTCAGTGGCATTTAATGCCGCCATCATATCTACTTCCAGAACATTTTTTATCACCCCTAGAGGAACGGTGGTACCCATTAAGCCATTATCCCTCCATCCTTCCTCCCCCCACCTCCTGGCAACCCCTAGGCAGCCTTCTGTCTCCGCGGATGACCCTCGTCTGGATACTTCATGTAACTATGTGCTCTTCGGTGTGTGCCTTCTTTCACTGAGCATAATAGTGTTCCCAAGTTTATCCATGTTGTGGCATGTGTCAGAATTTCATTCCCTTTTGTGGCTGAATATTTACCCTGTGTTTGGGTCTCAAGTTATTTTCTCTCCCTTCAATTTCCATTTCCACTCCCATCTTCACTCTTTCTTGAGAACTTCCGATGTCTTGACACAACTGAACTTGAACTTGATTCCTTCCAACTCACTTCCCTCCAACTTGTCTAGCAATGCCCACAACCACACCTGAGGATCATGTATACCAGGGCCCCCTGAAGGGCCGGTCAAAATCGCAGCTTCCAGCACCATCCACGCCTACTAAGCACACTCTTTGGGAATGGAGACAGAGGACTTACATTTCTAACAAGTTCTGGTCACCCTGATGTACATGTGTGAGCGTCAGAGGTGTGACACAGGGCTGGCCAGCTCTCCCCAGACCCTAGCCCAGGATCCCTTAGTCAACTGCAATGGCTGGGTTTCATCTCCATCTACACCCACTGGAAATCCAGCTCGAAATTCAGCTCAAAGGCCACATCTCCTGTGATTCAGGAAACCTTCCTTAACTCTTGACCTGAAGCCATCTCTCCTAGACCATGAGCTCCCTGAAACAGAATCCAGGCTTCTCTTCACATCCCTTGAATAACATTCATCCCTTGAAGAACAGTCAGTGAGTCCTTCCACACAGTGCCATCCTGGGTGCCTCTAAACAGTCGCCTAATTTACTCTTCACAGGGTACCAGCAAAGGTGGCATCATTATCCCCAACCTCGAAGGACCACCATCCCCAGGAAATGCCAGAGTGTTTCTGCTCAGTGGCAGGCAGAGATGAACCCCTCAGCCTAGATCATGGAGGGGTGCACCAGTGAGTGAAGCCTGTGAAGGACGTCTTAAACTCACAGGGAATAACAAGCTTT